TCCTCTGAACTGGTGTTTTCTTTTATTGCTAGGAGCTATTGCTTATGGTTTTCATTTAAAGGGGACAACTTCCTCTTTTTGCAGGTGACTTCAAGTAATCCGGAGAGAAATTACTGAGCTTCATTTCAAAAGTAGGTTCACCCTTCCCACCGTTTCCCTTGGGAAGCTGCTCCCGAATAGCATCTTGCTGCTGGAGAGAAACCTTATTCCTATTTCCAGCCTAAAAATATTAATGTCTCCTTCCCCTTGTCTGCCAGTGAATGTCAGGAAATACTTGAGTTCCTACAACTGGGGAGTCAATAAATCCTTTCTGTTTCACTTGCAGAATTTTCCTGAGATGCAAAAAATAAAAAAAAGGGAAACTGCCTTGAAATGGGAACAAATGCTGTTAAATGTAAAACGAAACTAATTAACCTGAATGTTTGACCTGCATTCTTTGTTTTTAGTGCTGGCAGGAGTCATTAGTCACTCGCAGGACCGCGGTGATGGTTCAGGTCTTACGTGAACGCCTTTTGCAGTGGATTTAGTCAGCCTCCTTGTGCAAGGAGGGAGCACCCAGGAGCCAGTTCAGTTACTGCGGCCTTTTGAGATGGGCTCTGGGCAACTTGGTGGCAGCTGAGTGCTGGATTAAGGGCATTAGGACCCGGATCCTGTCGGTGCGTAAGAGCCCTGTGTATCTTCTGCTCAAGGGAGTCGGATCACATTGTGTGTGTGCAGGAACTGGACTCTCTTGGGATCTTTTGTGCTTCTTCCTGGTCAGCTGCAGCGTACAATGAGCTATTTCTCTCACTGTTAACAGCTGTCTTGTTTTGTTTCTTTTTTCTTCTTTTTTTTTTTTAAATTCCTGTTTGTAGCTTGGCTTCTTGGAAGAGAAAGGATGGCTCAGGAGACGAATCAAACCCAGGTGCCTCTGCTGTGCACTACGGGCTGTGGATTTTATGGCAGTCCCCGGACCAATGGGATGTGCTCCGTGTGCTATAAGGAATTTCTACAGAGGCGGCAAAGCAGTGACCGGATAAGCCCCCCAGGTAGATTTTTGTCCGAGAAATCTGTCTTAAATGGACGCCTGCATGCAATCTATTTTAAGAAGCTGGAATAAAGCACGTGCAACCTGGTACTGATCACCAGCAGATTTTCTTCCTTTTGGTCTTTGCCTTTTCCTGTAGATCCCAAGCCCCTAAATCAAATGCCCAAGCCTGGGGGCCCTTCTGTTAAGGGGATATTCTTCCCTTCTTCCCCATTCCAGTTGTTTGTTAAGCTCTGTCCTAGGCTGCACCTTCCAGTAAACTGCAAAACTTCACTTGCCAAAACAACAGCCCAGATCTTTAGCTGTTATTTGCTCCTTGAGTTGTGTGGTGGTTGCTGGAGACTGTGACAAACCTTTGCAAATTAGTGAAATTTTGCTTGAGAAGAATCTGGCCTTTAGGGTTTGGTAATTTCCTCGTTTTAACGGGGTGGACAAGCAAAAGCAATAAAATAAAAAGGCTTGGGGGGTTTTGCTGCTAAACAGAGGCAACACTGAGCTGAGAATCAGCGCTGTGCGCAGAAAGGATGCTCTGTCCATCATCAGCAGGATTTTCTCCTCCTGAGAGGCTGTGCAGATGCCCCGTGTTCAGAATTTGAGCAATACCTTCCAGAGGTCTCCCGTGGTTTTGCTCCTGAGCATGGGAATGGCTTTGCTCCAATTCCCCACTCAAAGTGTACGTTAGGGACACAGCTCTTCTTGACAGAGGATTAATTGCAAAGGGTTTTTCTAAAGATCTTGACTTAGATCCCCAGCTGCCAAAAAACCTCAAGATATTCCTATTGAAGCCAGGGCTTTTCAGCCACTGGATCTGGTCATTATACCTTGGAGGAGCTGCAAAGCAGCACCAGATTCAAAGTAATTTCGTCTCTGCAGCACCTTTATTTATACTGAGAGGCAAACATTTATGCTGATGTGGAGTTTGCTTTATAATGCTGAGAAGGGGAGTCAAAGAACGACAGAGGGGTCAGTGTGACTGAAGTTAGATTTTTGCCAAATGTTTAAAAACACACATGGAAGGTCCCCAGCAGGTGACTCCTGGCCATGACTGTCAAGCAGCTGAGGAACTTGCTACCGTTTCTGAGCGTTGACCACAACTGTGATCTTGTTTCCTAGCAGCCAACGGTCCCAACAACAGCCCTGTGGCTTCGAGCTCAGCTGCAGAGCCCTGCGCAGAGGGAGACTCCGCACTGGAGGATGTGAAAGCCAGGTAGGGGCATGGGCTGTGCATGGATCTACTGCCCTGGGACGCAGTGTCCTCGTCCTTTGGGTCGCCACAGGGTTCTGTTCACGGCGACCCTGTTTTTATCCGGAGCCTTGAGAGGTCCCTACTTGTGGGGACTGCTGTGCGGAGTTAGCTCCTAGAGGGTCAGCAGTAAATTAAAACTAGTAGTAAAATAAATAGCAACCTGGTTCTCCTGCAGCCAGTGCACCTGTTTGCTGCGCTGTGTCGTTAGCTCTGTTAAACCAGTCAGCTTCAACCAGGTCCTAACGTACAGCACTAGTGATGATCCAGCCTTGAGGCTACAGGAACAAAATTGGAAACTTCAGTGATATTTTTTAGGAAGCAGGATACCCTCACTGAGCCCTGTCGTTGCACTGAAGTCCTAGTTCGTAGCCCTGGACGCATTTGCGTGGGCTTTGAGATGGAGCTGGGTAGAAAAGGAAGCTGAGATCATCACAAGTTCATTCCATTTATGTCTGCGGAGAACTTTGGCCCCAAGTCTCAGGGGGAATTGGCCTGCTCTGCTGCTGAGCTCCCTTTGAGTGTAGTGAAATGAGCCTCATGGGCTGAAGATCTCTCCCACAAAACTGATCATCAAATGAAAACGTTTGTGTTTGCTCTGTGGTTTGTTTCTTGCTCCCAGTGCTCAGACCCCTGTGACCCATCAGATGACGGCCATGAGCATATCCAGAGAAGAAAGCAGCAACGAGACGGAAAGATTCGCTAAGACAGAAGAAGCCTCCTCAGCATCTTCCTCATCAGGTAGGCCACTTGGTTTGGCCTTTGTGTCCAGATGACACAAATATAGTAAGTCTGGTTTGAGTGGTATGTCGAAGAGTCGCTGCCTGCCGGCAATAAAGGTGCATCTAACAAGAGAGCTAAGCTAAAAAAAAAAACAGTTTCTTGATTCTGAAATGGAAGAGAAAATGCTGTGCCTGAGGGCACAAAGGAGGTGGCTCTGCGGGCTGCGAGCGGAGTAGCTGCCAGCCCTCGGCTCTGCCAGGGGATCATCTTCCCTGACGCCCGTCGGCGTTCGTGGCAGAGAGCCCGGAGCCTCCCACGGGCGGGATGAGCCGAGCGGGGCACGGCGGAGCCCCGCAGAGGGGCTGGGAGCCCCGCGCTCCGCAGGGGACGGCGCCGAGTGGCTCGTGTGGCGGCTGCTCCTGTGTCACCCCAGGGCCACCTGCCCCTTGGAGGGCAGGGCTGGCTCCGTCGTCTTGTTTGCAGAGTGGATCCCGTGGAGTGATCCCGGTGACGGAGTACCGGTGTCGTCGCCCAGCAAGGCCCGTCCCCCAGTTGTTCTGTTGCAAGGTGTTGCAGTGGAGCTGCAAGCGAGTGACACGTTGCATGGGAGACACCCTGCCCGACTGGCAGCTCAGTTTGCTTGTGTACAAACCTAAAAGAAACAGGGCTGTTTGTTAGTTGCTAAAAAATGGGCTTCAGGCACTGCCTTGACTGTAAGGTTTGGCCCTGGTAACCACTTGCCCGCGAGCCCAGGAGACAACTTAGAACAGGCAGGTGGGAGTGACTGTGTGGTGGAGGAGAGACCTGGGAGAGTCCTGGAGCCCGGGGGGTTTCTAGAGGGTTGTTCAGGGTCAGAGCTGCGAAGCTGTTTCTGTGTCTGCCCATCGCTCTGCTCAGCCTGGTTTTCGGACGGCGCACGCTGCAGCGGGGGATCTTGTGGCAGTTGGGGCCCCGCTCGCCTGTTGACTTCTCTAACCTGCTTAGGTGCTGCTGGAAATCCTGCTGAGCGTCAGTGACCTTTAACAATCTGGCTCTGGGAGCTCGCTTTTCCTTCTGGTAGATTAGAGACGGCGATGAGTATCTGTGTAAAGCATTCTGAGACCTACATATGAGGAACACTTACATAAGAGTCAACAGAAATAATTACCAGGGCCTTCTTAGAAGGGGTTAACTTTACAGAGATTAACTCCCGGCTCAGATGTGCAACCGAGTGGCTGAACAGCAGCCAAGCCATGGTGACTATCCAGCCACATGCTTAACCTGTGACAAGCGCCAGGTAATTCTGCTTAGCATCACGTTTCCTTACATATGCCGTAGCTGAACCTTCCTTGTTTTTCTTTCTGAGCCCTGCACTTCGGGAATTGGAAGGGAGAGGTGTGGGAGCAGCACGAAGCTCGCCCCTCGGTGCGACGCGCTCACGGCGTGCGGTTATGTGCACGCGCAGGCGCCTCCGACAGGGACTCGGAAAAAGGAGGGCCTGGAGCAGCTGTTGGAATAAAGCTAACACGTCACTTAACCAAGAAGGATAACGAAGCCCTTGTCTCTGTTCCAGGTACCCTCCTTGAAATACCCAAGAACGCGGCTGAGGACAAGATGGTTTCCGAAAAGGTGAAACAGAAGAAGAACCGGTGCTTCACTTGCCGGAAGAAGATAGGGTTAACTGGTAAGGTCCCAACTGGGGCAAAAAGTACCCGCCGCCTGCGTAGTTTGATCCTGCTGAGTTCACAGGGCTGGCATGGTGCAGTGTTTGGAGGTTGCCCTCCAAAGAATACTCTGCTTTTGCAGGAAATGCTGCTCCAAGGGAGGTGGGAGGCGAGACTCAGATCTTTGAACAGTCCAACCCGAGGCAGTAACATGAGGAATTTGATGCTCATCATCAGTTTCCCTGCCAGCTCTTAGATTCAAAATTGCAGTGTTGGATGGAGCAGTGCCCCTTGGCTTACTTCTGCTACCTGGCAAAAGGTGTTTGTGTAGAAGCAAAGGCAGCCACCAACACGCTGTGGATCTAATTCTGCTCCCCCTAATTCCATGGTAAAACTTGTGTAACAGTTGCATGAACTGAGCTAGACCAAAACAGAAAATCCCACTCCAAGACTCCTTCCAAATCGCTCGATTTCTGCCCCAGCTTTGTGAGCGCAGGCTCAGCCGGCAGAGCAAGAGCTGGTGGGACACTGCGTGGGGCGACACACTCAGAGGGAAAAGGGCCCCAAAAAGGAAATCTGTGAAGCAGCTCCCAGGGTTGCGTGCTAACAAAACATCATCTCCCCCGCAGTGACCCCAGCGTTTAGATTTTCCCTGGAAAAAGTTAACCCTTGAGCCGTGCAGGCCACCCTGCGCTCTCCTCCCGCCGCTTGGCCCCCAGCATCACCCATGCGGTTTTGTGCCCTCCACAAGAGCTTCTTGGGCAGAGCCCGGCCCACGAGGGTCGTCCAGCCCTGTGCTGCGCACACTGAGCTGCCCCGTGCGCTTGGAGGCACTTAGAGCAATTGGAGCTGGATAGCCTGCAGTGGCAGGGTGCTCTGCTCTTCCCAACAGCTTCGCTTCCAAGTGGAGCGATTAAATTATGCATTTTGGAGGCACTGGAAGCTCCAAAGAGATGCTGAGGCCAGGGGTGTGTTGCCTGTTGCTGCTCGGCCGTGGAGCTTTGTGATCGCGGCTGTTGTGGTGCCTTGGAGGGCTCAGCCCAGCTCAGAGCCTGCTGCGGATTAGGACCCTCTTGCTGTGCCCTCCGGCCATCACGTGTCCTTATCTCTAGGGAACGCAGAGAACAGCTGCTCCCGAGAGCTCTTCCCGCTGCCGTGACAGCTGGGGCCGCTGCAGAGCACACACGCACTTGTGACAGTTCCCCTGAGAGCAGCTAAGCTGGAGGAAACCTAAGAGCTGTCCCAAGCCTTCCCCCCTGCTCAATCCCCATCTCTCTTCTGCGTCCGTGGGGCTTCGTGGCGAGCAGGGGCCAGCCCGGCGGGACGCGGTAACGTGGTCTCTGCTGCTCTTCCCTTCAGGCTTCGACTGCCGCTGCGGGAACCTGTTCTGCGCCCTGCACCGCTACTCGGACATGCATGGCTGCCCCTATGACTACAAGGCAGAAGCAGCTGAGAAAATCCGCAAGGAGAACCCCATCATCGTGGCCGAGAAGATCCAGAAGTTGTGAGGGAGGCTGCCCGTGGCCTGGTGCTCCTCCCCTTCCTCCCAGCCTTCCTCCTCTTCCTCCCAACCCCATGGTTGGCCTGATGGGCCCTCCAGCAGCAGACATGAGCTAGAGCCACTGCTCGGTAGATCCATTTCTGACCGGCTTCCCAAAGGAAAAGGGCAGGGCGGTTTGCACAGCGCGGGCAGCCATCCCCGCTCGGCTCCGCCGGAGGTGCCCGGTCTCGGGGGTGGGAAGGAGGATTTGGCAGTTTTAGCACTCCAAACCCCCGCCGCGTCCTTTTGCGAAGCCGCAGTCGGAGCAGCTGGATCTGGGCAGCCGGGCCGGGACCTTGCAGAAAGCAGCGCTCCGCGCGTGCTGCTCCGGGAGGGCCTGGCCGCCCTGAGCGACACCCGAGCAGCGGCTCCGCCAGCCGCCGAACGCTCCTCCCCCGCCCCGTGCGAAGCGCCTGGCCCCTTCCCAAGCGAGCCTGCGGATAACGCGGCTGCGGCCACGCTCCGACACCCTCGCCTCCCCCCTGGATCCACCATCCACCTTCTGCCTTACGTGATTTGTTTCTCATCAGGGTTGTGCTCCAGGCTCGGGCCCCCGAACCTCCGCCCGTCCCCGCGCGCGTGCGGCGCTCGGGAGCTGCGGCCTCCGCCGCGGGCCCTGCCGAGACCCAGCGAAGGGCCTTTCCTGGGAGCTCTCCCAGCCTCCCTGCCCTCCCAGCCGCCGCTTGTCCCTGCGGGAAGGGGCAGGGCCGGCTGCCCCGGGCACACACGGGCGCACGGAGAGGTGCAGGGAGAGCTCTAGGGTGCAGGGGATGGCACGTAGAAGGTCAGGGGCTCTTGTCTCACTCCCCACCTGGCTTCTAGTTGTGGGCCAAGCCCTGGGGAAGATCCTCATGGCCAGCCAGGGGGGAAGAAGAGCCTGGGAAAACCCATTCTGCAGCCTCAGCCTTTTCGGCAGCCCCTTTGCAGCCCCACGTGAGCAGCAGCTCCGGGTGCTGCGTCCCACCGTGTCCCAGCGAACCCTGACATTGGCCTTGGCTGAGCCCCAGCCACGGCCCGGGGAAAAGCGTCCCAAGGGGGAAACTGTTCTGCAGAGCCCGGGTCTCCCCTTCCGCCACCCCCAGCGGCCACAGCTTTTCCTGGCGGATTTTCTTTTCCAAGCTGTTCTCCTTGGGACACTGCAGAGCCGAGAGCCGGATCTGCGAGGCCGCGACGGCTCCGTCTCGCAAGCCAAGAAATGCAGCTGCGTCCCGGGAGGAAAGAGCAGCCTCTGCCCCACTTCTCAGCATCCCACGTGTTTTCAGCATTTCCCTTCAACAGCGATTCGTGTCCCAGCTGCAGGGAACAGTTCGATGCACCGGGACGAGCCGCAAGCAAGTGGGAATCGGTGCGAAAAGTCCGCAGGCCCCTGTGCAGGGACAGGGAGGCGACTGCGTGCCGCACGCAGGACGGGAGAGCGGGGATGCAAAAGGCCTCTGCTGCCTCCTTTTCTCTTTTATTTTTCTTAGTATGAACCCAGATCTGTAAATATTAATATATTCTAGTTTGCTTGGATGCTGTGGATGGTACTTTATGTGCACGGGGCAT